GGTCCTCTGGGGGCCAAAGGGGACGATTTTTGGCTCCCACCCTGCTCTGGGCACATGGGGTGATGCTGGCAGCCTGGCGAATGGATGGGATGTGGGGCACGGGAGAAGGGAGATGAGGGGGTGAGTGGGAGGATGAAGGGTGATGGCTGCATGGGCCGGGGAGTCAGATGGGGTACTGGGAAAGGCCACCATCGGCTACCACAAGGTGTCTGAGGACCATGGCCTGGCGAGGTTGGGCTGCCCAGGGATGCTCCTGCACACTGGGACCCTGGGGCAAATCTTCCCAGATTGATCCTAGAGAGGTCTGAGCCTCAAATACGGTGTCAGATCCCAAACTGTGGGGCTCAGCATGACTGGCAGCCAGGCCCTCTCCCCCTATAACCCAACTGATTCTGGGTGCTGTGCCCCACCGCCACATCCATGCAAATAAATTGCTGCAAAAAAAAAGAAAAAAAAAAAAGGGCAGCTCTGCTTCAAGGATGCTCTAAACTCAACTTGCAATTTTACCACTGACTTAGCAGATTTCTCCACTATCAAAAGCTCTCCTAAACTATTGCCACCACGTTACTCCATACCCTGTACCTCCCCTAGAACCCCTATAGAGCTGGCTGAGCCCCCCCGCCCTCGGGGCACTGCACTGCTGGCTGCCAGAGCAGCTTGCTGGTGGTGCCTCAGCACACAGACACTCCACGAGGGTCAGGCACAAGCTAACTGAATGCATAACTTTATTAAATAAATGCTTTGTCATGAGAAAAGACAAAGATCAAAGAGTAACATAAATTATAAGTTGAATAAATAGTATACAGCAATCTTCACTTTTTAATAAAATGTGAGATTTTTTTTTTTTAAGTACAAAATGCTAAACAGAGCATTAAGCTCTTCTTCCATTGTCAGTTTTTCACAAACTGCTTTTTTTTTCCCACCAGTAAGATTATGAGTATTTCTTGTTTACTGGAAAAAAAAAACCAACAAAAAGAAAACAAAATGAAACAACAGAGCTACCGTATGTATGTAAAGCTATAAAAAGCTACCGTAAAATGTGTAGTGAGTATTGCTTAAAGATAAAAACCAGGCAGGAAACTCGGAATCTGGTGTGTTTTAACAACTGTGTTACATTGGTGGGTAACGTGCACGGTGACGTCTGTCCCGGTGGCAGTGGCGGGGCTAGTGGGGCTGGGGAGGGGGGCACAGTAGGCAGGGCTCCTAGCCAGGGCCAGGACAGCGGTCTGGAAGCTAAGTGAACTGTCGGTCCTTAAATATACAATGCTCCGTTTGGGAAAAAAAAATCAACAACAACAACAACAACAAAACAACAACAACAAAAAAGAGTTTTCATTGGGAAGGGGGAGAAAAAAAGAGAAGGGAGGGGAGAGAGCGCGGAGAAATAGTGCAAAATGCTCTTGTACTAGTGGTTTTTGAAGTCCACTGCAGTACAGACAAGGGGTAGCCCAACCGCTGAGCGCCGCTCCCCGGGGAGATGTGGTGGAAGGGCTGTCCTGAGCCCTGTGCTGGCTCTGTCCACTCCTCAGCCGGCATCCCAGGAACCAGCACAGGCTCCATGCAAACACTGTCGGTGGAGACCCCTGAGCCTCACGCTTGCCCTTGATGCACAAATTGCCGGCACTTCCCCATGTGTCTTGACCCCCTCCTGCCCCACTGCTCACCCAGCCCTCTCCAGCTCCCAAATCTGCCTCTTTTGGTTTTCTCACCCTAAACACAAACGGGTGCTGCTGAGTGCTGAGAATGGAAGCACCTTGTCACTGCTACCCCCAGGGGTGGCCAACCCCTTCTGAAGCTGCTCTCATCCCCAGCCCAACCCCAGTCCTAAATATTAGTGCAGCCTGCGAAGAGCCTCGTCCTGCCAGGAATCCTCGAGGGAGCAGGCAGCCAGGGGGTGGGGGGTGTCGTTCTGTGCCCCATCCCAGGAGCCAAGGTGGCTTGGGGAGGTGAAGGTGGTGCAGTCCCATTCTTGCACCCTCCTCCCCCCAGGTTGGTGGGGAAAGACAGGTGGTGCCATCCCAGCACTGGATGTGCAGTGGGGAGGGAGGCTGTGCAGGACAGATTTTGGTGCTCTGGGCTCCGAGAGCCATGGCTGAGACTTGCTTCATAGGGGGAGGTCAGGGAGGCACTCTGTGTCCCCCTCCCAGTGTCACCGTGTTGGCCAGGTCATGAGACCATCATCAGGCCCTGCAAAAGCATCAGCCCCAGAAGACAAGGTCTGTGGGGAGCTGCCATCCCTCTGCCCTGGCCATCCTCTGCCCTCTGCCATCCCGCCCTGGCGGCACATCTCCTTTCTCTGCAGCCAAAGGCTTTCAAGTTTTGGGAAATCAAACAACAAAACAAACAAATGAACAAAAAAGCAATAAAGAGGGAGAGGGAAGAAGGGAAGGGTGCTGGGGAAGGTGGTACTGGCCTATAACAGTCAGGAGGTTTTGCACAGGGACCGGTGAGCAGAGATGGGAGACAGTGGTGACAACGGCGACCTGTGGCCCTTGGGGTTGGCACAGGCTCCTCCTCCTCCTCCTCCACCTGCCTTCTTCACCCCATTCTTCAACCCAACTTCACCACACCATTAACTCCCCACCCTTGTCAAACCAACCCTGCTCCATCAGCCCTGCAGAGCCTGGAGGGGATCCCTCCCTTGGCCTCAGCACCCACCATGCTCCCCTCCAGCAACACAGGGGTCACCCCACTCCTCCGGGTTTTCTGGGGGCACAGATCTGCACTTGGTAGCACCTCCTTCTTTTCAACAAGGGAAGATGCTTCATCCACAGCTCCAAAGGTGCCCCACCAGGTCTCTGTGGAAGTCCATCAGCAAAACTCACCCCCACCATAACTCTGGGGGAAATAACTGTGGGGCAGCCAGTCCTGCCCTTGACTGGGGCAAGTGTCCTGGTAAGGGGCCCACAGAGTGCTCAGGAGAGCGATGCCATGCTGCAGGTGGCTATGAGGGTGCCCAATCCATAATGGAGAGAAGCCTCCACTGGAGCCCCTCAGTGTCGGATCCCTCTTGTCCCATCCCCTCTGGTGGGGACACGGCAGCACTGCCAACCCCCTTTCCTCCCTGCCCAGCTCTGTTATGCTCAAAGGGGCTTCAGGGGAGCAGAAACCTTCACCCTGAGATCAGCTGTGTTCTTTGGGCAATGCTGGCTGCCAGCTCCAGCTAACGGTGGTGGGATGTGGTCCCTGGTGGGTGTGTGTCTGCCCACCGGGACTGCAGCACTTGGAACTCCACGGCTCGCTTTCCTTTCCTCCCTTCCCTTCACTGCAGGATCTCCTCCGAGCACCGACATCCTGGAGACCCTTGTCATGGGGAAACAAGAGGCAACAGTCGCAAAATGGAAAATAAAAACTAAAAACAACAAAAAAAGTCAGGAAGGCAGCTGAGGGCTGTCCCAGCACGCCTGAGTCAGTGGGTCTCCATGGTGTGGTGGGGGGTCTCCGCAGTGTGGTGGCTGCTGTCACTCAACAAGGAGCTGGATCCTAGGTGAAAAGCGAGGGCCTGTCACAGGATCTTACTGCAGGGTGGCAGGAATCAGCCGTGGCAACGTGAGCAGTATCTTCAATGTGAAAGGATGGAGACCGGCATTTTCCTACCCACAGGGAAGGCTATTAACTAGCCTTAACAAAAATCCAAGACAAAACAAAGTGTAGGTTTGGTTTTTTTTCCCCTGGAGCAAACCACTTTTTTGGCTGTGAAAAAAAAATAATTAAAAAAAATAATTTCCATAGTTGTCCTTCCTTGAGGCGGCAAAGGGTGGTGAAGAGTTTTGGCCCCGATCTCCCTGTCTCCATGTAGGGATGGATGCTTCAGTCTGGACAGAGATGGAACATCTGCAGGGTCAGCTCAGATGCAGCCCTCAGTGTTGGCCGGGCTCTGACCCCACAGGCACTGGTGCTCCTCCGTAATCTGCTCTTGTGCTTAGTCCGGCAGGTTATTACCATTTTTTGGGAGAGGGCAGCATCTCTCCCCCTGCGTACAGTTCAACCCTCCAGATTGCAGGTTTCAAGGGGAAGTTTTGCAGTTCTGCAAGGAGGAAAAGCCACGTCTGTGCACACCCACGCAGGCGACAAACGCTTCCACGCTTGGATGGACAACGGTCGGAGTCCTGCTTGTCCAAAAATGATTTCTGACCTTCCGTTTGAGAGAAACTGGATGGAGAAGAGTATCTTGCCTTTCTGGATGACTTCTTTTTGAAGTTCACAAATATTTTTGGGGGAGTATTCATGCCATTGCAGGAGCTGTGTTTCCCTCCCTGGCTCATCTCCAGACACAAAGCCAGCAGTCCCATGCCTCCTCCCGATGTCTTGAAATCTGCCTGGATCTGGGGCAGTCGTTTGTGAAAGAAATCAAGTTGACTCAAGTGGGTCCCAGCTATGTGGAGAGGAGACTCCGGCGGACTGCAGTGAGGAGGGGGAATGGTGATAGCTGCAAGGTTTTCCCTCGAGACCCTTTAGAAAACAAACAGATAACCCAGAAAAAAAAATAACCTGCCCGAAACCCGTACTGGAAAATCACCAACTTGGAGAGCTTCCTATGTCAGGGTGGCCTCTGCTCGTGGGAGGGGGGCACGGTCGGTGGCAGGGAGAGGTGCAGGACGGCGGAGCGACCGTGGCTGGCTTGTCTCTGGCTCTGTCCTTTCCTTGCTGAGTCCTTGTTGTCAAGAGGCTGCTGTAGATTCCGAGTCCTCAGTTTCTTCAGGGTTTGTTTTTCTCTTCTCTTCTCTTCTCTTCTCTTCTCTTCTCTTCTCTTCTCTTCTCTTCTCTTCTCTTCTCTTCTCTTCTCTTCTCTTCTTTCTTTTCTTTTCTTTTCTTTTCTTTTCTTTTCTTTTCTTTTCTTTTCTTTTCTTTTCTTTTCTTTTCTTTTCTTTTCTTTTCTTTTCTTTTTTTTTCTTTTCTTTCCTTTTCTCGTTTTGTTTCATTTTTTCTTTTCTGTTTTTCTTCCTTTCTTTTTTCTTACTTTTCTTTTTGCCTTTTCCTTTCTTTACTTGTCTTCTTTCTTTCCCTTTCTCTTTTTTTTCCTTTTCTTTCCTTTCTCTTTTTTCTTTTCCTTTCTTTTTTTTCTTCTTACATGAGATGAAAGGAATCGGAGTCCTGGGGCGTGGGGAGGTGCAGAGGGGAGGGTGGAAGGGAGCTTGGGTAGGTAGTGATGGGGTGGAGGGAGGGGATGTGACTTCACTCCACGTTGCTGCTGTCGAACGCGTGGCACTGCAAGTCTCCGCTCAGGTAGTCAGTCCCCGGCAGCTTCATGCCGTATTTGTCCACGCACCAACACAACCCACGCTTCCGGCCTCGGGAGGGCTTGCACTGGGGAGACACCCAAGGGCAGCGATCAGGAGCTGGCCACCAGTCACCACATGGCTCCCCTGCGCTGGGGATCAGGATCAGCCCCGCGCTTTACCCCTTCCACCTCAGCAATGCAATCCCCTGGGTAGGACCTAGCTCCTGCTCTCTGCTCTTGGCACACCTCCATCCCTGCTGCTACCTCAGCCTGGAGAGCTCTGAGTTTTCCCCCTCCCACACCAGCTCCTTCAGGATGCTCGCCTCAGGCCAGACAGCACTTGAAGCTATCAGCAAGGCCTCCCACCACCAACTGTGCCTGGAGATGCTTGCAGCAACCCTTCCACCAGCCCAGCAGAGGAAAAACCTCCATCCTTTCCATCCAGGGCAGTGGAGCCTCGCTGGGTGGGAAGCATCCCTCTATGGGGCTCTTTCTTACCTGCTTTCTCTTGTAGAAGCCTTTTCGGTCACAGTTGGGGAGGTGGACGGCGCGGGGGACCATCCGCTGGCTGCTCTTGAGCTCCTGCAGGGACGCCTCCATGTGCCTGCGGCAGGGGCCCTGCAAGTGAGAAGATGGAGTGTGAGAAGGGGAGCACCAAGCCTCCAGCTGCAAATGCCCCCAGGTTACCCGTCCCCATCCACCGACACTCACTCCCCAGCAGGCAAAGACCTCCTGCAGCCCCCTGCCCTTGGGAGTCTCGTGGAGGGAAGGCAAAGGCACCCACCAGCTCAAACTCTTGCCGGAGCTCAGGTATGACAACGCGGGGGTGCGCTGTGTTCTCCGCCATGCCCACAAACTTGGCCAGGGTCAGCTTCTTTCGGCGGTCCTTCTTCAAGGCCTCAGCCTTCAGCTCAGAGAGGCGCCCGGGTTTGGGCCGGTAGGCCTTGGGCGGGTAGGTTTCCTCTGTCATCTCTGACGTGGTCGGCTCCTCATGCTCTCGGGACTCCCGTTCTGGAAGGGAAGAGGTACCAAACCGTCAGGTCTCCATGAGCTGACTGGGCCTTGCTTTGGCACAGAAAGCTTCCTGTCCAACCTCAAAGGACATCTTTGTACCAGGTAGGATGGGAACAAATAACCAATCACTTTCCCAGCTGCTGCCTACAGTCCTTGCTCTACCCCACTGCGTGGGACTTGGCATGGCTTTTGTGTGAGCTCAGGACAGAGGGGTGTCTGAGGGCATGGATGAGGCATGGGTCTAGGATGGGCTCATACATACAAGGCCATCATAGTTTGCAGTGTGTCAGTGGAAAAAGACTGGTGGGAGGGTTATCCCACACTCAGAAAGGACCAGATGACACAGAAAATGTGGCAGTGAAGTCCTTCTTTAGCCACATTGAGAGGATTAAGTGACTAATTCACACCCCAGCAGCCAGAAAAGGGTTACCCTGCCAAGCGATGCTACTTCCCTGACTGCAGCTGCCACCCATGGTACCAGTGGCAAGGGAGGAGAGCGTTTAGGCTCTGCCCATGACAATCACCTGCCCATACAACCCCCGGATCACCCCAACGTGACCCGTGTCAGCAGGGTGCAGCCAGGAGCCCTGCACAGTTATATATAGGAGAGAGCTGGTGACAGTCTAAACTTAGATGACTTATGACATTTAGTACAGCCACCATAGTGAAAAAGGGTATTTCTGGACTAAATTTGTATAGAGTTTGAACCTCCTGAGGCTCCCTGTCTCCTAGTCCCTGGTTCCCAGCAGTGACACCAGGTTCATGTTGGGTAGGTGGGTGAGCATTTGGGAACCCCCCCAGTGGGAGGAAAAGCACCAGCATGGCTGAAATCCCTCCCTGCACAGTGTCTCCAGATGACTCTGAACCCAGCCTCCTGCAACCCTATGGTGAAGACAGCAAGGCACGAATTTTGCCCTTCCTTGCAACATCACTGTTGAGAAAAAAGAAAAAGGCTTAGGATGAAAACCAAAAAGTTCATAGACCTCCCTGCAACAAGGCAAACGGG